ATGCATACTGTGAATTCGACCTTCGTATAATGTTTGACGAAAGCATTTCCTTTATTTTTTCATTAATAAATTCTCGATCACTCCAAGAATAATGGTATGGTGTTTTCCTTACTGGTGTTTTGTCTGTCAGTTCTATACGATGATGAACTCTATTATATTCTCCCGGTTCATTTTGTAATATACGGTCATATTGTCTAATTAACAGTTCAATTTCCTTCCTTTGTTCTTCATTTAACATTGATTCCTGGCTCTCTGTGCTTTGTAGTATGAATTCCTCTGGATTTGACAGTTCGTCACATTCCTCGGGTTGGGAATGATAGTTCCATTGGTCTTCAAACGTAGTCTTACTCTCCGTTGTATCAATATGTATTGCTACAGCACTAGGAAGTAACAAGCATGATTCTTGTATTGCTTCTTCAATGGGAGGTTGTGCTGGAATCACATCACCATCTCTTGTGACTATTTCATATTTATCTTTCTTCAATATCACTTTCACTCCTGCTTGGCCAATTCAATCTATTCCTAAAGTCAAAGGAACTGGGTTGTCCTTGAACACGGCTGTTTTCACTGTGGTGACTTGGCCTTGCAACCGAATAGGTAGATCAACAAATCCAATTGGTTTCACCTTTGTCATGCCAATACCAGTAAATTCAGAGGTGTCGTCATCTAACATCCTTATACCATCAGATCCCGACGAATTATTGTACGACATGAACCTGTATCAACAAGGGCTCTTATCTTTCCTATCATTGACACTTCAACATTAATATATGGGCTATGAACTTTAGAAGCGTTAGCATTGATGTTTAAAGCATTGTTCTTTTGTTTTTGTTTCTTGCTGTCTTTAATCTCTTTTGAGCCTCCTCTTTCAGCTTTATATTCATTGGTCTGTGCAATATTTTCATTTGGACATGTCTTGGCTAGATGTCCTAACTGTTGACATTTGTAACATCGGGTCATTTGTAAAGGCATCTGAGCATTCCACTTGGGGTCTCTTCTTATCGACTTCTCGTCTGTATGTTTAATAAAATCAACTGCAATAGCCGGATCCTTTACTCGAGCATTCGTATTATTTGAGAACTTATGAGGTTGTTGAACTTGAGTCTTCATATGCATCCTGGCCTCAGTCTCTTGCTCATCTATCTTGCGTGCTATATGCTGTAGTTCTGCAATATTGTGCACATCATGCGTAGCAATAGTAACTGTGTGTTGTTTATTTTTTATTCCATCCAGCAAATAATCAATTTCGTCAGCTTCAGTAACATTTACAGGACAGTTAGTACGCAACAAACACAGCTTAGCATAGAAATAATCTGTGAGACTTTCATCTTGTCTTTGTTCTCTTTCTTTCACTCTGTCACACCACATTCTCAACGTCAGTCTTTTACCAAATTCGCTTTTTAAGCTTGTCTTCCATTCAGTCCAATTGTTAAGCTGGTAACCAATTGCTTTATGCCAGTTTTTCGCTGCTCCTCTCAGTTTGCTGATGGCTAGCGGAAGAACTTGGGTCTCAGCTAGTCTCTGTTGATTTCGAGTCAATTCAATATAATTCAACCATTCGTCAGCACTCTCTGTAGTAGTACCACCAAATTCAGGAAGAGAACTTGTCAAATCAGGTACAGTTTGGACTTCAATAACTGTCTCCTTTAAGTTTCGCACTGCCTGTTGCTGGTTATCTATTAATAATATTACTTTTTCCATTAGCGTTTGCATCATATTCATAGGATTTGGATTTACAGCTTGATCTTCGGAAGGAGATTCGTTAACGACTTGTTCCTCTTTTGCCTTGTTAGTTTCGCTAACATTCTCTTTTTCACTTAACATTGCGCTAGTTAATCGTTCTATTAGTTCAGATTTTTTACCAACTCGTGATAATTGCCTTTTCTCCAATTCCTCTTTCAAATATTCAATGGTCCTTCCTTCTAAATCATGTTTAATTTCTTCAACCGCAGACATATTAGCTTCTAACCGAATCACGATCGTCAACTTAAATTCTTTACTTTTTTCTAATATCGGCGCTAAATCTTTAAGCTATTGCTTCCTAGAGTTAGCTCTTAAGCTTTTCTATAACTTTGATTCGGTTACGACTAAAATTTTACACTTTTAACTTCAATCTTAAACTTCAAGACTTCCTACCTTCGTCCGTGCGCCTTACTTGTTTCGGCTCGTTTCTTGTAGACGTGGTTGGTAGCGGTACATCAGCTAATGTTGTCGACTGCGTCAATTCTTGTACGACTCGTGTTCGTGGAGTGTACAAAGTTTTTTGAAATAATTCAAAGGCGATGGTAAAAAACTATGAACTAAGTTTAATTATAATTATTAACTGTATACAAAGACTAAGCAGCCATCTTTCTGCTTTTTCATAAAAGAACTACTAGTGCCCCCTGCTTTTTTTCTCCTCCTCGCGGGATTTTCTCTATAAAAACTTCTTACAGTATGCAATGACACTTATACAGCACAAGTTCACGTTTTCCTTACTGGGAGAATAAGTTGGCTACATCAACGCTATAAAATCTATGTACATCTGACTAAGCAATAAAACACTATATAAATATACAAGCTTATACGGATATAGAGCAAAACCATACTAAGTTTGATCTAGTGCTGTTTCTTACTGCTAAGTAGACGTAATACATCTTTCATCTTCTTACTACAGTTGATGAATATATTGGCTGATTCCTTTCCAAGATTGATGGATATATTTGGCTGGCTTCTTTCAATTTTTCATTGGCTCATAACAGGATCAGATAAACTTCACTTAACTTATTATAACAAAATTTGTTTTCGGTTCTTTACACAATATTGAGCTTGGTTGCTAATTTGCATTTTTAACTATGTACGACAGTCGGAATTTACATAATATTTGGAATAGCCAAATAAAACAGAATTCACTGAAATATCCTTAAAATTTTTCTTTAAAAAGCATTTTAAAAATTTTTATTTTTACAATATTTTCAACCAATAAGCTTGTATATTTATATAACGTATAAGCTTGTATATTTATATAGTGTTTTATTGCTTAATCAGATGTACTTAGATTTTATAGCATTGATGTAGTCAACTTATCCTCCCAGTAAGGAAAATGTGAACTTGTGCTGTATAAGTGTCATTGCATACATTGCGTGTTTAATGGTACGTTTTTAAAATATACATGTTTTTGAATTGAGTTTGTATTATTTAATTTGGAAAATGTAATAATCCAATATTGTATATGTTTTTTCTTATCAGTTGACTGATGAGGGGCAAAGCGCCCGAAACATGTAAAATTGCCCGTATCAACTGAATAAAGAGGAAAACACCAAGTGTTTAATTAATAACACAGTCTTGTGTTCAATAGTCAATAAATACGAAAACATGGTTTCAGGAAACAAATCCACACATATAGAAAAAAACCTCAAATCTTTTGTATATCTCGAAATTTCAAGGTGTCCTGAGTCCAAAAATGTAAAAATTTGGGAGGGGACATTTTTTGACCGAGCCCTACACTTTCCCTTTGTTGTATATAACAGCCAGAGAAGTAAAAATTATCGAATACATTTTTATATATTACTGAGAGGAGTCTTATAGCTTTGGAATAAAAAGTTTCTATGTTCTATCTTTATTAGAACTCTATTTATTGAATCTTTTATTCTGAGGTCACGTGATGACATCAGAATTTCCGTCGGATGGTAAGGAAAAGTCAGAGTTGGAGTCGGTAGATTTTTACACGACTCCACAGCCCTGATATAAACAGAACTAGGGACCACTGCTGCACTGCATACTGCACGATGCAGTATGTTGTGCAGGGATACCTTGGGCAACCATTAATTGTCTCATTGATAGTATGCCTTGCTGTATAGCTGTTTATGGGGCCATATTCATTACTGAATAAACAAGTGTCTGTTGTATATCTTTATTATTATTTTAATTATTTGCATATCTCTGTCACCTCTACTGGTCCTGCAATGTGCATGTGACTATTCACTTTCCTTTGTGGTGTTGCAATTTCACTTTTGAGGAGTGTATAAAATGTATGTGGCAAGAACAGAAATCAAAAACAGTCAGAAAATCACTGGAATTATAGAGCTTTTTTATGTAATAATTGATCAACATAGTTTGGCCAATATAATAATAGAAGTATTAAGTACTAACCTTGTAACAAATTTAATTATTAGAAATTTATGATTAATTAATTTAGAGGAACCTACGAGAAATCTAGCCTGGTGTGGTACTCAAAACTTGCAACTATTACAAATTAGATATGCAATATTGCCAATTACATTATTTAGACTTCCTAAGTACTCCTAAAAAAAATTGGCAAGCATTCGTATTTAGGAGGGTTGCTTGCCAATTTTCTCAATAAGTGATTCATTTGATTAATTTTAACTCTCTTATTCTTTCTCTTAAAATTCTCTAAGATTTTTAATGTCTGCAGTATGCAAGAAAGAAATATTGGTATCAATCTGTTAGCATTTGATGTATAGTGTCAAATTACTATATAAAAATAGAACAGTGGAAAACTTACCAAGATATCCTAAAAATGATGGTTTTGAAGATAAGCATGATATTTTTAAAATATTATTTGTAGGATACATATAATCCATTGTGTGTAAATATTGTACTGTAACAGGTAACAAAAATTTTAGAGAATAGTAAAAATAAGAGCATTTTTATCTATTGACTGAAGAAGGCAATTCTCCCTTTATCAAGATTTAAAAAATACTTCAATAATCTTGTTATTGTGCTGGAATCAGAGTTTTTTTTCCCCCCTTGCTAAAATCCAGAGTCCACTAAATTCAGGTTTTCTGTATTTGCATATTTATTTGTTCCAAATATTTTAGATTCCCGTTAAGTTGCTAAGATTTTGACATTAATTAATTAATAAAACAAACAACTATTAAATGATTTCAAAATACATTTATTATTATTTTTCTTTTCTTTTAATTTACGTATTACAATTTTATTTTTTGTTATTTATGTGCAGTATACTTGAATATTTTGTTTTCTTTATTTTAATTTAGGTTGTAGTAAGGATAACAGAAATAATAAATCAGTAGTAATAATAAGTGATACAGAATCTGAGATAAGTAATTCTGATGATGATGAAAATAGTTACTATTCTGATACTGAATGTAGTAGTTCTTCCACAAATGACGATTATTTTGATGGGTGTTTTTCATGTGGTCTGTATTTTTTAAAATATTACCTGTTTTATTTCTTCTAATAAACTCTTACATTGTTATTTTTTTTTCTTTTTTCAGGACGAAGGAGTCATGATACTATAATGTGTCCATACAAACATGGGTACTCTCTACGTAATTACAGATATTGACAGTTATTTTTCTTTTTGTAAAGAATAAATTATAACAAAATTTTTTTAAAATATTGTTCATTATTAATATAAAAAAATGTAAGGCATATATTATTCACCTTTTTATAACTTTCAGTAATAAGAGTGTAGCAGTGTATATTTCAGGAAAGATATGCAGAAAAAAGATGACAACATTTATTTTTCATTATTTTGTAATTAATATATATCATTGTCAATGGCTCATTGCTAATATGTGAATTGCATTTCTTTTTAGTTATCATTATTGATACAATGTTCTTGGTTTATTTTAGCTAAAATTGAAAACATATTCATAACTTTATAAACTAATTTTAATAAAAATAAATTTTATTTTAAAAATTTATATTATTAAAAAACGTGATTAAATGCAATATTTAAAAAAAAAACATTTTTATATTTTCAAAATTTATATTGATTTATAAAAAAATTTTTAATTATATTTTTTCAGTAATTATTTAGATTTGAGATTAATTCAAGTTAAAGTTGTCTCTTTTGTAATATAACTTTTAATAATAATTTTTAATTAGTAACTTATAACTTTTATCATAATAAATGTTTGCAAGATTCAATATTAAATTGTGTAAATCATTTTAATTTTTTGTTTGCTTTTGAAGAGCTTTTGAAACAAAGACAAAAGTACAGGTAACCCCCATATAACACAGGAGTTACGTTCCAAAAAATTGCTGTGTTATACGAAACAAAGAACTAGTGCGAAAAGGGGAGTTTCAAAAATTAAAAAACATGTTGTTAAATCCTTATTTAAATCAAATTTATTATTCATTTTTTTTTCATTTACTTAAATAATAAATACTTATTTATTATTTAATATTTATTATTTAAGTAAATATTTTACCAGAGGATTATTCATTTTATATCATGATCTCAGCATGAGCATCATCAACTGGTAACAGTTTGTGGGTGCGTTCATTAATAGCGGTTGCTCTGCAACAGGAGTGCGCTGCTGTTTGTAGGCATTTAGGAACAATGGTGAAAGAAAGATGGCGGCGGCTGCACTATCGATAGCATCATGATGGAGGAATCTATAATTCTAAAATGAGCTTTTAGAGGCAAAAGAAGGGTCCCAATTGTAAAATTTAACCATTAAATGGATTATTTGTTGAAAGAGCATTCAAAGTAGCCACGAAAAGAATTGGAATGCTCGCGCAGAGGTATAAAAGAACACACCCTTTATTACATTTTATGTTGTATGAGGGTTTTACCCAATTTCCGAACCGTGTTAGAGTGAATTTGTGCTATAGAAGTGCTGTGTTATACAGGGGTTACTTGTACATATAAGGTATTGTTTAACAATTAGTTATAAAATAGAATGTTATAGAAATCATTGCCAATCAAACAAATTGAAAATTTTTTTAATTCTTCACAACTACTAGAAATTTAATCAACATTGATATATACAAATTTTGTCTATAGATTACCTTTTTTGAAAAATATAAATATAAAATCTTTGTTTCATATATTAAAATTCATTATGATGTATACATATTTTTATAGTTTCTGAATGTATGAAAAATGATGTAATGTTTAGTTCATGTAAGTTGTATAGTAATTCTACATTTTAATTACATATTGAACAATTTTGCAATTTGACAGTAGTTTGAATTTTTTTTTTTTTTTTTATTATTGTTACTATTTATTATATGGACTTGAGGGCACCAAGAAGGAGAATGTCAGTACATTTGTATTAACATTCTCCAGCAATCTCAATCTTCTTGGTTTGTGTTTCCTGCAACTTTTTCCATTATTGAAGCTACAGTCAGTATTGTGAAGAGCTTGCATTTCTGTAAGTTTAACTAAAAATTTCAGAAAAATTATTTCTATTTCTAGTTTTTCCATTATCATAAACTTGACAGTTTTATGTAAAGATGGAAGAGTCCAGTTTTTCATTACTTTAGACTTGGGAAGGGAACTTGTTACGCTCTAGTCTTCATCAAGTCGAGAATCATCTGTGTAATAATGCAGAATGTATTTCTTACTATGACAATAGTTATTAATATATAGTAATTATTACCAAACAATGAATTATGAACAATAAATCAAAAAATTGCCAACTATTATTTTGCTAAGGTTTCAATGCAAACTACAATCAAATTGCTACTAATCCTTGGATGATACTCCTCAACTCCACCACCAAGCACTTGTCACTTTATACTAGAAGTCACCAAACTTTTTGACCGTTGACTCCTTTAGAGATTTCTTGTATTTTATTGACCCATTTTTTTGTTTGATAATACAGTTAATAATAAAAATTAAGTAAATCTGGTGAGCATATTAATCCACACACTGTTTTCGTAGAAAATTGTACTTACAGTGTACAAATTTACATCCTGAACTGTCACATTATATAATCCACTAAACTAATAATTTTTAATGAAGCATTATCAGTTGACCTGCATGAGTCAATATACCCTTTTGATATAACAAGTGTCACCTACTCCATTTACTTAATCTTGTGGACATATAATTTGCATTTTCTTTGTTGACAGAAATTTGTCCTGTTTTTTCCACAAAATCATTTAATATGCAGAGGAACTTTTTATTGTTTCTATTAAATTATTACAAAGTTATTTTTTATCATAAAACAAAATAAAATTATTTTTCTGATCCTACAACACAAAAGATAATTTACTCTTAAAGAATAAATTATCTTTTGTGTTGTAGGTGTCAGAAAAATAATTTAAATCAATCAGTTAATTATCCAGGACTAAGACCCACAGAAATAATTTTTTTAAATGGTCTGACCAAGATTTTTATCATGAACACCTTTTCCAAAACACTAGGTAATTGTAACAAATTTTAGGGTATAAAACTTTTTAACAATTTCATGACAAATTTAAACAAACAAATCTGTAATTATAAGTGAAACAGATCTGTCTAATTCTGATCTAATAGCATAACCTGAGACAGAATATAAACATAGTCAAAATGTTTTATTCTTTCCTTTAAAACTATAAAATAAATGACTTATTAGGACTCTTTAACAATACATTAATAGTTGATTGTGTTGCTGTTATTTAATATTTTAAGTCACATTAATTTTGCATTAACAAAAACGTTTTATTTTCATATGTAAGAATTACAAAAAATGAACATAAAAATATTCTATTGACAGCAAGCATTATTATTATTATTCAATAAAAACATTAAACACATCATTTTAATTGCTTCAGTATAAAGAATCTTTTATGTATAGTCTGTAAATAGCCTAATTATTGTTTATTTACTGTGTAAATCTAAGCTACAAATTAGCCAATTAAATGAAATTTATGTGCATTGCCTCTGCTTTAGATAAAATTTTTGCTTTCTCTTATATTCATTACATTTATTCTGACTCTAAGAAAAAATACCTAGTCAACAGATAAAATTTAACAATGTGCTTAGTAATAATTTCTTTGTTCTGCAGCCAACAAGACATACATTTCATTGAAATTAAATAAGTCAGCATATCCTGAATTAGGCTGAATATAATTTTTGTGTAATTCTTGCACACTGAAGGAAAATGTAAAATTATCTTCCAACACTATTATTAATTGTTGAAGTTCTTTCATTGGGTATACTAATCCACATTTGTCAAATGTACTAGTGATACTAACATCACTGAAATGACGTCATAAGCATTATTTTCTATCCCGCTCTTTATTATAAGAGCGAATGGCAGCAATTGACACATCAGATTATTCTAGCCACGTTATGGTTTAGTGGCTAGAATTATTATTATGTTCTTTAAACTTTATTCTTCGGAACTCTAGGATTCTACAAAATTCTGAACAAAATAATTTACAATTCAATAATTTCGATTCTGCTCTGCAGGCACTAAGAGGGGTTTTTTGTTGTTGTTTTTTCATGCTATTATGAATTCAGTCAAGCTCGCTACGGAGACAGGGTTCAAACATATCACCTATGAGAAATTCCTAAGGGAATTGCCTAGGAATGGGACAAATGTTTGTAATTGAAGTATCCTTATTCGACACTGTGTTAAGAAATAATTAGCAGCTAAATGCAAACAAATTTCAAAACAGAAGATATGGTAAAAGTTTACTTTTAATACACTTTTAATTATAATCAAGATGTTAAATATTAAAAAAAATAATCATCTCGATTTTAAATAATAGAATGTTATTGATTAGTAACGCGTATAGATGGTATGACAGAAAAAGTCACGTGGTCACGTGTTTATATTAATACGCAAAAGGATCAAATAGAAGGGCCAGCAAGACCATTTTGCCTGAGTCCAGGAGATGTGGGTTCAAATATTTATTCCTATGTAAAAAAAAACAGGAAATGATGTAAATTAAAGTTTTTGGTTTTATTTTTATAAGTGGTAAAAATATATTTTTTTTTTATATTAATTTTGCTGGTGTATTTTTGGGTCAAAGTCTACCTAGGTAGTCCCAATGGCCACGCTTACTTGTGCTCCCAATGGACTCCTCCCAGAAGGGAGCCACCTCAGGCTGCCGTGTGTTTAACGTCACTAGTTATTGATTTATGGTAATTCTTGAACAAAAGTAAAAAGGGGAAACATCTACTAAAAATATAGTTAATCTAACCTAATGTAACCGAAGTGCCGCCATTGGGACTACCTAGGTAGACTTTAACCTATTTTTGGAGAATGGTGAGATCAACATTCGTTTCCGGTCCAGGCCCCGTCTTCCTCTCGGCGTCCGTGCAAAATACATGCCGTATTGAAATTATGACTGCAAAAGATGTTTCGGTCTCAAATTTTTAATTTTGTNAAATCTGCTATCAATTTTCATGTATGCAAGCAGTCACATTTCATGTTCAATTGAAAATATAGCTAAATTACTTAATCTTTGCTGGTGCGTTGTTGATCTTAAATAGTTTTTTTTTTTATAATTTTAACTTTGAAAAGGACCCTTCACCAAATGCAACTGAAACCAGCAATGTAAGTAATATTCTTAGTGCTATTGCTGTGTTCAGAAATGTTGAAATTAAGTCATTAGTAAAAAGATATTGTAATATGGTTGTGGATCATTAGACTTGTTTTCTGGAAAATGCAAAGTATTGATATTTCATTAATTTAAACAAATCAATACCGTCAATGTCTGTTTCACTACTCGAATCGTCTTTAAGCTTCAGATTTAAATCCTAACCAAGTTAAAATATCATTAATTATACTTAGACCCATGTCAGAAGAATTATTAACAAAATAATTGCAATTTGATACGCGATAGAACTGTTCTAATGCGTACAAGTACAAATTGAGAAGGAAGCTCTGTGGGAATTCCTTAATTTTGCCAGTCCTGTTAACTTCTGTCATTGAGCACGACTATGGGTACTTGGCTTTCGGATGGTTCAATCTGCCGACAGACGTTTCGCATT